CAAAGTCTTCCAACTTTCGGCCAAAGAACTAAGTAGCATTAAAGCCTGTAACTCATCATCAAAAATAATTTTCATAGAAACAAGTTGGTTAACAATACTTTTTATTTCATTCAAATGTTCTGGAATAGGGCTGCCCTCTTTATATTTTAAATTAACAAACTTACGAAACAGAAAAGCTTTATTTGTAGCTGATTTCCTATCATAAAGGCCTTCTAATTTTTTCCATAAATCATGTGCTGAAGTTTTAGTAGCAACATGAAACACATTGTCATCAATCCATTAACGGATAACACCAATGGTTTTTCGATTAAGCCTATTCCATTCATCATCTTTCATACCCTCGGGTTTGCCACTATCACCCTCAATGGGTCCATACAAATCTTTACAAAATAATAGGTCCTCCATTTTAGTTTTCCAAGTTATCTAATTGCTTCCATTGAAGCTAGACATACGACCCACATTCTCCTCCATTGATTTACACAAATAAATAAACTCAAATAAACCGTAAGCTCTGATACCAGTTGTTAGGGAAAATATGTGATCCCCACAAGTAAATCAATCAATGGGAATAAAAACTAATGCGGAAAAATTAAATCAAAAGCAACACAATAATTTTTACGTGGTTCCCTCAATGTGAGGTACGTCCACGGGATCGAAATCCGATTTCACTATCAACCAAAGAGTTTCCAAACGGTTACAAACGAGACACTAATGGTCTCACAAACCACCTTTAGGTGAATTCCAAATAATCACAAATAAACAAGAAGAAAGATCTCACCAAATAGATGAACCAAAATCTTCAGAATCAGAGTTGAAGAAGACTCAAAATAATTAACCCAAATCAACTCCACCAAACAACCGAATAAGCACACTAATAATGCTTCAAAGAACCAACAAAACCGAAACAAAAGGGAACTTCCGAAGATCAGCCGAACAACAGCACTAACTCACCCAATTTAATTCCACCAAATATGATGCACCAAGTGCTATCTCACCGAATTAATTGATCAAAAACGTGTTGCAACTTGCCAAGCAAAAACGGCTGCACTTTTTCTTTTGGGAAAAATAATACCAATCATATATTATGCATCTAGGATTTTTGATCAAACCCTTAGTTGTTTCCAAATTAAATTGGGTCTCCACAAAATTAGATATAATATATAAAAATATATTATACCTAAACCAAACCAAATTAAAACTCTTTTAATAAATCAATTAGGTCCCACACTCCAATAAGGAGGTATACCCAACAACAGAGATTTCTGTAACAATAGCGATAACAATAGCAATATACTTGGATGCCATGAATACAGTTCAGAAAATAGGATCATCATTCAGTCAATAAAAAGTATCAATTCAGAAACTAATATAATTTATTAATCAGAAAATAAATACAATTTGAACATATCTTTACAACAGTGTTACTCGCAGTGAGCTTCCTGAAACACGTGTTAACAATGTGTTAAAGATGCAGCGTCTGACCTAAACAAACAAATTCAAGCATAATTCAATTACATTCAAGTCATTTCTATTCAGTCGGGTGTTAATTTAATCAATTTATATTCGTTGTTCACTAATTCGGTTCTATACATTATTTGTGTTCATGAGATGTAATGGACATGGCAAACACTTTCAAATCAGGCAAATAGCAATTTCCAACTTCAATTTTATACAATACAAGACCCAAAACTTCTTTTAAGAAAACATTAATTTTTATAAACGTGACTTTGAACAAAACCATAAATTTATAACAATGCTTAATTGTTTTTATAACAAAAAATTTTTAAAGCAAATTTTAAAATATTAAAATGTGTATTCAAGCTACAACTTAAGCTTTTAAATGAGAATTTTCTAGAAATTACGAGAGACCAAGCAAGAATTCGTGTATGTAAAACAAATTTGTCCATGAGATAATCATATTTTTTGGACTCAAACATTTTCAAGTGTAAATTACCATTATATATACAAATTATGTTCTTTTCCAAAACTTTTGAAACTTCCTTCTTAAAGTTCATAAATCATGCAAGTAAACAATTGTTTTGTTCATAGATTCTTGAAAACATGGCATGCATGTAAGGATCATGCAACCTAATAGGTGTTTGAGCTAAAATTATGCCATGCATGTGAATATATTACACTATCTCCTTCAATTTCTACTTTATGATCATATATGGATTCTCAACTTTATTTCTTCTCCAAGAACTCCTAATTACTCCAAAATCCTTTCCTATTTGAACTTAGATGCTAAGGAATTAGGAGTGTATTATTTCAATTTCATGAATTTTGAGATGAAATTTACCTAAATTTGGTAATTTGTTGAAATATAGCTCAAGCTCCTACTTTTCTTCTTCCTTCATGAACTCAACCCTCTCTTTTCCTCTCATTCTCTCTCTCTACTTGGTGGGTCTGTTTGGTATGTCAAAAAGATGATTAAACTCAGGCAACCAATTACTCTCTCTCTTTTACTATGTTTTTGTTGATTCAAAAATGAGTAGTATTCCAAATTATTATTATCATTAATTCATTTAGCTTTAAACCATTAATTCATTCTAATTAAGTTAAATAAAAATCAAATCTATGCAAATTAAATTAATCCTCATCACAATAAAATCTCAATTACACTAAATTTAATTATTAATGTGAATTGGGCTCTAATTCTTATCTAATTATTTAATTCTAACTTGTTAAAATTAGCGAATCAGACAGGTTTAATTTTTATTCTAACATATCTGTTCAAACAATACAAGTCAATAAATTTCATAACAATTAATAACATTAAATCACATAATTAACATGTAGGAACATAATTAATAGTTCCAATTAAGGCTCAATTCAATCACAAACAATTTTAGTAAACTGAATTAATTTTCAATTACACGCTCTAAAAATTTCCATGAGTCCATCCATATACTCAATTTCAATTTGTGCACCCAATAAGATTGTCGATTTCAGTTTCAAAGTTGTAACCTTAATAGGTAATTTTTCCAATTTGGACAGACATGCACAAATTAAATTACTAGGCACTTAGTTCAATTAAAATTAACATATAATTAATTAATTAAAATCACGATTAGCAAGTTTGGGTTGTCACACCATGCGAGTTGGCGGATAAATGCGGATTGGTTTGGCAATTTAGGTTTTACTGTTTTGGCAATTTTTTCAAATTATTTTCTAGTAATTATTTATTATTTTGCAATCAAAATTTTCAACTGTTCATTTTTTATAATAAAAATAAAAGGTCAACTTTCATATTTCATAAATACCAAATGTAATTACTAAATAAAAGGTCATTTTTTTTTGACACAAGACATAAAAGTATAATTTCATTTTCTTAGAAGTGTTGGTGGATCGGATTGAGTCGGATAGCCTCTTATCCGTCGTCTGTCCAAACTTAAGTAGATTAGAAAAAATAAATCTATACCCATCTGACCATTCAAATTATTCATTTGGTAATGAATTTATTCGGCCATTCGATTTTGGTTGCCCACCTTCTAACATCAATGATTACTAATTGTTACACAACTATAACAACCAATAAAATGTTTTTAAGAGGATATATTCCAATAAATCTCACACTAAATTCCTAATTTGCATAACTAATTTTTTTTAAAAATAATTGAAATAAATATTAAGAAATGACTTATATATCGATTGATTTTTTTATTAATAATTTTAAATTTTGTTAACAAATGCACTTAATGGACTGAAGGAAAAAAACAAAAAAAACAGAAAGAAAAAAGAAAAAAGGAAAAAAGCCAAAACCATATACTTCACTAGATATGGTTGGAGATTTGATCGCGTGATCTTTATACATGATATGATAGTTTTGCGATTCAGTTGATGCACTTATGGGTTAGAATTGTATCGTGATTGTTGTTGATTCAACATTGTATGTAACCTTGTAAGTATTAGAATTTAGAATGTGTTGAAGTAATGAATATTAGCTGCAATTGAATTTATTGAGTTTGCGAATTAGTTTTTTTAATAGATTTTTTTAGAATTTTACCCAAAAAAAAAAAAAAAATTTGTCTAAAAAAGTATAGAGAATAATTTAACTTTTTGGCTAAAATCTTCTCTAGAGTGAGAGGTTTGGGATTTGCCAAAATTAGCAATCCATGTTATTAGGTGATGCTAGAGCATTTCCATCAAGTTAATTATTTTTATTTTTTTGGTTAAAATAGTAAATAAATTATTAAATTTCAACTACTAGCTATCAAGTTAGTTATCTTGGTTTCAATCTAAAAAAAAAAAGTTAGCTATTTTAGTTTTGGTGGATTTGGTTTAACAAATATAACTAGTGGTTTGGACTAATCCAAAATAAATATGTATATATATTACTTTTGATATTTTGAAATTAGTTGCGTAAAGTTTATAAAAAATAATTTAAAATAGCATGGCAAAATGAAAGAGAATTTGTTAGAAAATATATTTAAAATATGTATAGTCAAAATAGAAAGAAAATAAATTTGTTAAACAAAAGTTTAATTAGTTTGATGATGGCACTCTTGGTTTTTTTTATTACCTGTGATTTCTTAATGAAAAAGAAGAATTGAAAATATAGAGTTGGTTCTGAAACCCACCCGCTGAACCAACCACCCGGTGAGGACACTCTTAGTTCAAATGAGTTTGGTTAAGTTTGGCAAGTGGGTTTGGGAGAGCCAAATACTAGCTTAGGAATGCTATTATTGAGAGAGCTTTTTCTATGAGAAAGCTTAGAGGTTCATCAATTCGGAATCGATCTCTTTGTTTATTTTATCTTTTGTGTTTTCAAAAACAACAATAAAACGTCTCGACTTTTGTTGTGAAAAATATTTCTTAAAACTGCCTAAAAGTAGGTTGTTTTCGAAACATTTTTCCAAGAATAATTTTCATAAATAGTTTGCCAAATAAGGTTTTCGTGTTTTTTTCTGAAAGATGAAAACAGAAAATAGAAAACAAAAAGGGTATCAAACAGGAACAACACGGTTAAAAAAAAAGGTGGGGGTGGAGGATGATAGACAGAGAGAAGAAGCATTCAATAAAGTTATTTATTAACAAAACTTTCAAGTATATCAATAAACATGGACTACAAAACATCAAACCACACATACAAATTGAACAATGATCAAGATTCAAAGAACCTCGAATTCATTCTAGAAGCAAAACCCAGGCTCAGGTAAAAAACAGTGCAACCATTGAAATTCTAACTCGCTGAGAGACGAAAATTTGGATATATCCAATTCTGCAGCACACCAAGTATTAGGCATAGAAATAAATTTCAGTTCTCCTAAATGTGTGACACTGATTATAAGAAAATAGCAAGTAGCAAAGACAGACCTCTTAGAAAATATTTTTCTGTAAATCATCTAGTCCAGGATCGATAACTTTAGCTTCTTTCTCATCTTCAGTCCCAAAGAGTGGAGCATCTAGCTTCGGAGGGTTCTACATATTAGATACATATATGTGAGTCACTAAACAAGTAGCGATTGATCATCATTTATAAACCATAAGTAGGCTTAGAATCTCTAATATTCATCAAAACAAGTTCTCTGAATTATCATCTTTAAAAGGGTATTCGCCAAAAAATGACATTTGCCAATTTTTGACAACAGTAAAACTTTCCTGTTCATCCATGGGATTGAAACGCTTTTGTTTTGCTACTTGCAGAATTTGAATTATACCATACATGAAGGATCATTTCTTACTATTTCATGAACTAAAATGAAAACACCGAAAACAAAACATAGTCCAGTAAAATTGAAAACATAACACACAACAGAGGTAGAAAAAGAGAAATTATAGCAAAATGATTTGGTTGTATGGTTTCTTGATTTTTACCATGCAACGAACCAAAGGCCAGTTGACACCCTTGAAGAAAGGATGTTGCTTAATTTCATTAGCTCCTTCGCGTGAACCCAATCTATTTTTGGGATCTCTGTGCAACAACCGGTACATTAACTGCTTTGCTGAGAGACTCACCTGCACCACCACGCACAAAAGTTATTCCCGTTCTGCAGCATTTGATTTTTTTTAAAAAAAACAAAATTATGTGAAAATTCAACTAATTCCATCAAATTAATTTCTATCCACATCATGTGTGTAAATTTAGGAAGTAATTGTTTAAGTAGGCTTGTACCGTCATAATCAGACACCATAATTAGGTTCTGTTAAAAAGAAAACAGTTGAAAGTATCATAAATTAGAAAGTACTTGAATGAAGATGGAGGATCATCTCACCGATATAGCGCCTGGGAATTTAAGATCCTTATGAAGAATGTTGGCAAATGTCTTTTGCCTTGTCTTTCCCCTAAATGGTGTGTATCCATATAGCATTTCATAGAGCAGAATGCCTGTTGAATTAACCAACAGTCAAACAGTAATGGAATTAGGCCTGTTCATACAAAGAATGAAAATATAAAGAAAGAATGGTGGTAATTGTATGCAGTGGAAAGTATTGTGAATTTCAGAGTCGAACAGACAATAGATAATTTCATGCAAGACTGATACTTTAGAAATAATACAGTAAATGTGTTCCCAAAAAATTACACATGACTCGTACCATTTTTGTAATTTATTACCTGTGATTTCTTAATGAAAAAGAAGAATTGAAAATATAGAGGAAGCACTTGCCTGAGGAAAAAAATATAAAGATGTAGGGTTTTATCAAAAGAAAACAAAAATTACCTAGAGCCCACCAGTCAACTGCACTAGTGTGGCCTGCTCCAGTTATGATTTCCTGCACATACGAAAACAATGGTCATTCTAACTGAGAAAATTTTGAAAATGAAAAAAAAAAAATTAAAAAAAAGCATGAAAGCATAGAACATGAAGAAATATTTTGAGAGCTAATATGTATTTTGAATTAGAGAAAGATTTTCTTGACAGTTTAGAGATGACTGAACAAACTGATTGGAAGCTATTCAAGGTGAAAAAAGAAAGGGAATGAAATTTCAAATCCATTTCAGGCTAAAAGAGCATGATGTAGAACACGCGGCAGAGGAATTCTTAGAGTAGTTGGATCAACAGAAACCTAGGAAAAAGGCTACTTGATTACCAAGGTTAAAATTGTAAGTTTTGGCAGACAAATTCAGAATTACTCCACAATGTTATGTGCTTATAGGTAGACATAGACAGAAAATATACCGGAGCAATGTACTCTTCAGTTCCAACAAAAGAATTTGACGCGCGCATTGGCTCAGCCATAAATATTGGACATTGTTGACCCTTCTGATGCTTTTTCTTTTCATTTGGTTCGGGAATCAGAAGCTGCACAAGGCACAGCAAACACAATACAAATTTGTAATTCCACCAAGTACTCCAAAACTTCATAAATATAACCTCAGATAGAGTAGGAGATTGAAGTGTTGGCACACCTGGGGATTGCATGATGTCAAGCATGACAAATCAAAATCTGTCAAGGATACATGCCCGTTGCTTTGAAGTAAAATATTTTCAGGCTTTAAATCCCTGTAAATTATTCCTGTACGAGAAAGAAAATGTGAAATATATATAGGGTCATATCCCCAAAAAAATGTTGAATTCTATTTTTATTTATTTTCAAGAGAGAAGAGGGTTGTTGAATTTAGGAAAATCCAGCTTTGAATTTGTATTGAAATGTATTTTCTAAATGAAGGGAAAAATTATATACATAAGGATTACAGGCAATACCTTGGCAGTGCAGGTACTCCAATGCAACGATTACTTCCGCAGCGTAGAATCTACAAATATCAACAAATTTATAAAAATTGCCACAAAAAAAGCAACCAAAATTGTTATATAACGAATATAAAATTCAACAAAAAGAGCATATATACACCGAGAATTTTATTGTCTCCATCTGAGCAATATTATTAGTTTATATCAACACACTAACGAATGATCACAAATTCATATCCTTACCATATATCTGCAAACTGAAAACATCAGAGGAGAAAAAAAAATATGCACAAACTGTTTCAACTCCTTTTACATGTCAAAACAAAATCTCAGGTCAAAATTATTATTTAATTTTTCTTGTATTTGAAACATATAGTGTTCAATTGTATATAAATTTTTTACCTCACAGCATCTTCCTTCAAGACCTTCGTCGGCTGTTTGTCCAAAAGCACGAACAGCTCTCCGCCGGGGAAGTAATCAGTTATCAGACAGATATGTGTTTTGGTCTGCAAAGTATATTTTACACGTTGATATCCTATCATACAATTCAAATTATTTTAGAAAGCAAACAAAAGACACTTAAACGCATATTTCTCATATCTCGATAGAATTTCTCATATCTCATTAAGCAATCATTTTCTGCAGCTTATGGCAATTCTCTTGATTTATTGTTAGATCACACTGAAACTGATTTCTCCAACCTGAAACGAAGCATACAATGCTGGAAGAAAAGGGTGATCCAGCATGTCTAGGATTTCTCTTTCTGCACAAGCTCTATGCACCTGCCGTGAAGGAAGAAAAGAGTATTGTGAAGATAATGCGCGCGCGCACGAGAGAGAGAGAGAGAGAGAGAGAGAGAGAGAGAGAGAGGTTGATGCAATAGTTCAGTTTCAAAACCTTATTGCGGTTGAGCATAACCCCCTTGTCCATAGCTTTCATGGCAAAGAATTCGCCGGTTCCACACAATTCCACCAAATGCACACTGTCATATGCAGTCAATGTCTCAATTTATGAGCACCCAAAAACCAAAAAAAAAAAGGCAAATTACATATACCTCCCTTGATGTTTGGCTAAATTACAGATACTCCTGAAATTTCGGAAATTACATCCCACTTCTTAAGGTTTGCATTTTCATAACAATTTAAATTTCATAATAAATTACCCCCTAATTTGTTATGCAAATATAGCATTCAGGGAGGAATTTGTAATTTCTCAAACCTCAGGGGTATTTGTAATTTAGCTAAATCTCGAGAGGTATATGTAATTTGCCCAAAAAAAAAGAAAAAAAAAATCCATACTAGCTTTATGTAGCGTTTGGTAACGCTTACGTTTTTTGTTTCTTTTTACAAAAATTTTATAAACTGTTTTTTGTTTATTTTTTTAAAAAAAACCATAAATTATAAACGAGTTTGGTTTAAACAAAATGTTTGAAAAATTTTAAAAATATAAATTAAAAAATATGTTTGTTCAGGCCTAAAATATTTATATTTGTTTTTTATTAGTTATGACAATGGGATCATACACATTATAATTGAAAAAAAAATTAATTAAAAAATTAATTGGAAAAAAAATAATTGAAAAAAAAAATTAATTGGAAAAAAAATAATTGAAAAAAACAATTTGTTAGTCAAATTTTTAAATTTCTATTTAAAAAGTGACGTAAACTAAAATGGGTTTACGTTTTTCTCTCAAATTTACAAATTGAGACAACCATTTAGAAACCAAAAAAATTATCAAACAAGTTTTTATGATAATTTTAAAAAATTTTGTAAATATAAATTGAAAACTGAAAACGAAATAGTTATCAAACAGGCCATAAATCTCGTTTAAAAATGGTTGTCTCCTTTAAAAATTCTTTGAAGAAATATGAAGGGTTGAGATAAAAAAAAATGAAATTCTGAGTTGCATCATAAATCCATCCATGAATGCAATATAAATAAATGTCATTTATGAGAACATAATTGAATCAAAATTGAGAGCAACGGACAAACCTGCCAGTATCACCAGATCCCAAGGGTTTTATTGGCATAAAATGCTTCAACCCTAATTGTTCTCCACTCTCTATAATCTGCCATTCACAAATGACATGAGCAAATTCAAGAGAAAAAAAAAGGCCAAAGCATCGAAATAGAATCACATTATACAGGACTGAAATAAGGAACACAAAGCAATTGTCAATCCGTTTTAGATGCCATAGTGTTTTGTATCAACACCAATCGATTGTATGCTAAGTTCATTAAACGCAATCATCAATGTTTTGTATCAACACCAATCAATTGTATGCTAAGTTCATTACACCACATGGGTCATTAGCATCCAATGCAAATTTAGAAAAAAAAAAAACTTTGAAAAAAACAAAGTTTATACCTTTTGAATAGCCCTCCAAGAAGTGCTGTCCTTCCTATGGGGCTTTGGGTGAACTGCTTTTGAATGGTTTATCCAAAGATCCTCTGGTTTCTGAACATTGATATAGAGATGGTCACAATTTTGAACCTAGAAAATTGTCTGAATTTGTTTTTAATGTTTTAACATTTGGACGTTACCAAATTGGCATCAGGAAGTTCCCTCACTGCATCATCAACATTTGCAGCAGTTTCTTTCACCTAAGAGCAGGGAAAGATCAATCTTTTCAGTAATTACCACCCACATGAAAAAAATTGTGCAATTGGTCACAGTAAGGCCAGATTTGAAGTATTTAACAATGTTCTCTGAACAAATATGTATTTTTTGTACTGTTATGAAGTGAGAGGTCAGACCAGTTTTGCACTCTCTTCTGCTGTTTCCTCAGGGAGGCAGTTGTGAAGTGGCTCGACATGTTCGCTGCCATCCAATTGTACCCCGATAAAATACTGCACTTCACCCTGTTAATGAAAAAAAAAAGTGAGAACTATAACTGACTATTCATGTAGTGAAGAAGAAACTTGACAACTTTCCAAACCACAGCATAGCAATAATGTCGGATCATTTTAAAAATTGTACCTTCTGATCACGCATAGGCTGCAGATGGAACAAATTCCAGAACTTCTTGCCTGGGGAAATTTCAGAAAAAAATAAGTTTAGTCAATTGTGGTGGAAACAAATTACTAAAATTGACTACAGTTTGGGTTTTCTTTTAGCATAATTATTGCCAAACACAAAAAAGAATTAACAGAATTATTTTGTCTAGCATGACATGTTCTCAATTAGTGAATATCATGCTTTATGTAGATAAAATTAATGTCTGTTTTGCTTCATCCTTTAGACCATTTGACACCATATGACACTAAAATGTGAAGTTAGATTCATGTTATAAGCTGAAAATGATAAGCATACCAGTTTTGGTGTAATTAATAAGCTGCACAGTAACATCGGTTTGGGTATCAATTGCATGTCTAATTTTCCTCACTGTGGCTGGATCTGTTTCAGGGCCTTGAAGAAACCTAGTCAAGTTCAAACAAGTAGTAGGCATATCAGAATAAATAACTAAAAATAAACTAAACTGAATTTAAATATTTCCAAATGTTGTTTGGGTCATGTACCTTTGCAACAATTAGAGCAATAGAGAAGTTAAATCCAATCCAAATTGTTCATTTTGTTTTTTGACAATGTTTTACAGCTAAAAGCTATTCCGTTGCAACAAATCAATTCAATGACATGCAAAAAATTAATTTCAAGTGCCTAAGTATCAACTCTTACCTGCAATTTCTTCCTAGGATTTCTTCGCGACTGTATTCAGTTAGCTCCAAGAAGCTATCAGATGCAAATATCTAAAAATTCAAACAGAACAGAAAAATGAATTATTTTCCTACAAGTGAGCTCAAATTATAAGGAGAAAACTAGAATGGTCAGTATGAAAAACAATTTTTTAAGAAGCTAGCTAGGAGGGAGTCTTACAATGGGATTATCAGGCAGCCTTGGATCGGTAATGACAAAGTTTTTCTCAATACGTTCAAGTGTTGTAGCGAGATCAATACCCTTTCTCATCTCCTTCTTCCTTACTTTGTCATCCACACTGTCTGGCCGCCCATCATCATCATCATCACCATCACCATCATCACTCTCATCATCCTCCACAGTAACTCCAACATCGAATTCGTCGCTGCTGAGACGACTTTTCTTTATAATCCTGAAGCAAGAAGAGGGAATTAAATGTGTAAACAATGTGACATTGTCACAGATTATGTTAGGCTATGGCCTGAGTCAGCCTTTCTACAAATGTGCATGGAATGAAAACTTGCATGCAAAAAGTAGGTAATTACATTTTTTTTTTTGGTGTGATTATACGTGCCAGAGAGGCAACTAGGAAGGAAAATATTATACAAACTAATAAATCTTATAAAATTTTCTTACTATGCAACAATAGAAAATTGAAACAGAGCGTACTTTAATGATACGATAAGGATTGTGTCACATCAAAAAGTAAGAAAATTTTGTTAGGATTTTTAGTTTGTACAACATTACACAGGACTGTCCTAAACTGGCTCACAAATATTATACATAAACATTCTTTATTACTAGACACAAAGATAATGAGGCCTGTATTAATATATGTATATATATATATATATATGAGAGAAACGAAATGAGTAAAAATACAATCAGAAAATGATTTTTACATGTAATTGTTATATAGAAAATTTTACCAATGTGATGGTGTTATTCTTAAAATAATATGCCTTCTTGATAGATTTTTTTTATTTGAAACGAATGAAGACAAACCTTCCACATCATTTTTTGTACAATTTTTCTGCTTAATTTTTCATTTCTATATCATTACCCAATCCATTTATGTATAAAATTTTGTCAAACAGGATGAGTACGTACGACATGAAAGAGCGACGAACAGATTTCTTGGGTTTCGTTTCAGGCAACTCGATGATTTTTTGCATAGACATGGAGGTTCTGGTGCCAGCCACCGAGTGTCGTCTAGGTAGGCCCATAGTCTCCGAGCTTCGTCTCCCTACAGCTTCTGATTCACTACTGCCACTGCCACTACCACTGCCACCCTCTGATTTTCGCAGGACGGGACGGTTTGTGGACTCACTGAGTGACCGTGGTCTCTTCACTGCGTCCACTAGCTCAGTTACTGAGCTAGATGCCTTCTCTTTCTGACGGGCTGTAAAAAACAATTACAAAAGCAGTTGCTATTTGAGTTTAGTAATTTGCATGCTTTGCTTATTAAACTCACTACATTCATGCAATCACTCAAACATAGGTGACACAAAACTTGTTCATAACTTGGTAGTTTGGCGATCAGAGAAACAATATTTTGATTCTGTTATTGAAATGTAACTACAATCATAGGTGTGTCAATTAACTTAGAAAGGATTAATGGAAATGCTATCTACACAAAAAGTTCAATCTGAAAGTATTGAGAATTTTATTGTAGGGTGTGGAGTAAATCACGCCAATCTCAAAAATCTAGATAAAGATATGCGTAGAGATCTTCTCTTTATGTTTTCAAATATTTTGTGTTTGTTATCTCAAATCACTCACAATGAATATATGTGTTTTGAGTTCAAAATTTTCACGTGATTCAATGGTTATGTGTGGATTGTGACTAGAGGACAGAGATATTTGTTGACAGATAATCTATGGGCAAAAATATAGGTAACTTTCTTGATACATGGGACTCCCACCTTTGTCAGTTTGAGACTTCCAAAAAGTAAAACTCTTCCTCCATAACCTATGGCCCTCAATGTACGAAAGAGAAAAAATAACTCTTTTTTTTTTTCACTCATACTTGAGGAAAATCATAGCATAAAGAATAATTTTGTATCATCAAAACCATCCATAACAAAATAATGTGCCTTTCTGCGTCTTAAGAAAAAAAATTCAAACCAAAATGTTTACTATTGTGGCTCCATAACTTAAAAAAAGCCACTGTCATATATTGTTTAAGATGAATTTTTGTATACAGATTTTATTTACATTTCATTTTCTTAACACACATTTTTTATTATATATTTTAATTAATACTTTTTTGTACACATTGCATTGTTCACATTATTAGAAAATAATAATAAAAATAGACATGACCAAGATATTATATTATGAACTGAAGTGATGGGCATTTTGACTGAATGTCTGTATGAGTTTTTTCTATACAAATTCCATTTGTATAATATTATTCTTCTTTTAATGCTCCATGATGAAAGGAGTTCGACTTTTGATTGTGTCTGTGTTTCTTTTGCAATGTGTCTTGAGGTTCATTACGTATCTTTATTTTTGGTTATAATAATAAGGAAAATGTTTGAGGATCACAATTTTTCTGGTCACAATGGCTCAAAACTGTCAAAACGACGTCGTTTTGACAGTTTTGAACTATTGTGGCCACAAAAATTGTGGCCCTCTAACATTGTTGTAATAATAATAATGAGACGTGTGTGATGAATGATATGCCATTTGCAAGCATGAACTCTCCACATCATCCACCCAAACAAATCTCAATATTTGAACTTCTTAAATTTCTCATCAATTATGAGAACTTGTTAACACACTTTCAATCTGAACAAAACACTGTTTATTTTAAAATTATGAATTTCATATTTAAAAAGTGTATGAATTTCACCTGAAGTTATGTATTTAGTAGTGTGGGAAACAAAATCAAACTCTATAACAAAACCAAACAAACACCAAAGCCTATTCATTCCTCGGATCCCACATTTAATAGAAAAAAATTTAAAAAAATTAAAAATTTAAAAATTTAACAAAAAAGAAAAAAAAAAGAAAAGAAAAGAGAGGAGCATACCATCATAGCGAATTAATGATTCAGGTAGACCGTTGGGACGGGTCATCTTGTCCTTGGCACCCTCAGTGTGTTTGCTCACCTCCACTTGCATTCTGCCAAAATAAACATATATATATATATATAAATATAGGAATTTAAGCAAAAATAAGTAAAGTCAATCAAGTAGTCTTAGGTTCGAGTTCCTACTTCACACGATAGGTGACAATTTTTTTGTTTCCTAAAATTCTGTAAATTTTGAGATTTGTTACATTTTTTGACAATAAAAATAATTGCCAAACTTGCTTCCACTTATGAATTTCTTTTTCTTAATATATATATATATATATATATATAGAATTTGATCCTTATAACAAAATAAACATTAAGGTTTAAATTTTTTCAATTTAAATCTTAATCTTTTGATACTTTTTTTATTTTTATTAAGTAAAATTAACGAAAAAGTAATATTTTAGCCATTAAACTCAATAAAAATGGAATTTTAAACATTTTATTTTTACTTTTATTGAGTTTAATAACTAAAATATATTTTTTCTGTCAGTTTACATAACAAAAATAGGCAAATAATTTAGATTGAAAAATTAAAATATTTGACTTTAAATTGACAAAACTAAAATTTCAAAGTTTATTTTATTACGTGGATCAAATTCAGATTTTTTTTTTTTTTGAGTAATATATATTTTTTGAATATCCTTTTTTTATCTAAGATATTTATTCGAGCAATTCGGACGGAGCAAAGCTCGGTGGATGCAGTGGTAATTTTTTTTTTTTTTTTTTTTGGTTCTGTGAATGAATTATGAGGGGTCAAATTTAACTGATCAATGGCATGTGAAATGGGCCCGACAGTACACGATTGCAATTTTTGTAACAATAAAGGCTAGAGCACAACCAACCCCAAATCCACACAACAAAACAGAAAGTTAAAAGGCCCACACTTCCTTGGGTTAAGGAGGTCCACATTACACACAATCAAATTACTTTTGTCAAGGATGATAAAAGGTAGCAAAAAGCTGGATCAATAATTGCACTGTTGTGAAATTTACAGAAATGATTGAGGGCATGAAAAGGAGGGCTCGAATGGCCAAAATGAGTGTGCACTTGATCTCCGCTCAGACGATCGGTCGGACGTTTGCCTAGACGACTGGGTGAAAAATTGTCTACTGTAAATGTCACTTTTGTCGACCGTGGTTGTGAGCCTTCTCACCGGATGTCCGCCCGGAAGTCCGAAAAGACCAATTTCGAGCCATTCAAGCCAACCTCCTTTTCGGGTCACCTAGCATTGTTTGCGAAATTTAGGAGTGGTTATTGGGTGTTCTTGAAGTATGGTCTTGTGATGGCCAAGATGTTGTGATTGGGGGAGAAGGATGATTTTATGTTGGGTGATTGAATAATATGAAGGAATATGAGATATGATAATTAGTAAAGAAAAATAAACACATGGCGTTCCAAGAATATTGGAAAAATGTGAAGAAATTGTTAACAAAATATAAATTAATTTTTTATCCATTTTTCTTATATACATATTTTTCTTTTCAAATTTCTAATTGAACTTATGATCTAAACACAATCAAAGTCTAATCAACCATGGATATTCATGACAAATCAACAATGCTCGTACCTAAAAAAATAGGGAAAATTTCGTATCAGACGATAACTTCAAAAATAATTATAAATTAATGATAAGTTTTATTAATATTAATAATTAAAATTAAAAAAAAATTCATGAATATGTAATAATTTTTTGAAGATACAACTGTGAGGTAATTTTCCCAAAAAAATAATAAAATATAGGGGAAAAACTTAAAATTTAAAAAGTCCTACTATTGACTACCCATAATTGGGTGTTTGTTAAGGGACTAAAAAAAAAATGTCAAAAAAGTTAAAACTCCAATACACATATTCTCATATATTTTTATATATTTTTACGCATTATTATATATTTCAATATATTTATTACATATATACCAGCATCAACCATTACACTATTACACTGGTTACCATTTCTTAAATTTAAAATGGTGGTGTTTGGGAAGTGATTTTTTTTTGTTTTTTTTTTTTTTTTGTTAGTTTTTTGCTAAAAGACAAAATATGTTAAAAAATAATAAATAAATAAATTCAGACAAAATATCATATCAAACTCATAATTATTTCACTCACAAACATTACATCTAACTACAAAAAAATCCAACTATATTCCCAAATACAAAAATTTTAACCTCCAAAAATAATCAAAAACTAAAAAAACTTATTAAAACAATAACTTCCCAAACACTCACAATATGTTAATCAGTTCTGAGTAAACCAAGTTAAATTTATACTATAAATTCAAATTCTGAAAAAAATACTGATAATAATCCTTGTTAAATAGAAAAAAGAAGATTATTTTCTTTTGCTAAAAGACAAAATAGGTTAAAAAATAAAAAATAAATAAATTCAGACAAAATATCATATCAAACTCATAATTATTTCACTCACAAACATTACATCCAACTACAAAAAAATCCAACTATATTCCCAAATACAAAAATTTTAATCTCCAAAAATAATCAAAAACTAAAAAAACTTATTAAAACAATAACTTCCCAAACACTCACAATATGCTAATCAGTTCTGAGTAAACCAAGTTAAATTTATACTATAAATTCAAATTCTGAAAAAAATACTGATAATAATCCTTGTTAAATAGAAAAAAGAAGATTATTTTCCCCAATTCTACCCCTATGATATGGAACAAAGGGTCCACATTGCTGTCACCCTCGTGTAGTGAATCTAGAAAAGTGTTCAGATGCGGGCCGCCCTATTGGCCCAAATGGTAGAATTATTGGAGGAAATTCTTTGGGATAAGATTCACTGAGTTATATTTGTTTGGGGTTTGTGGGCCATGAATATAAAATATTTATGATTTATTATTATGTACAATTGTTTATGTTTAAATTATTTCATTTTTTTCCCCTTCATATTTATGGTATTTGATATCAAAATTCATTTGGGCTATCAATATAATTAATTCCAGTCCCCAAATATAGTCCATAGAAAATGATTCTTTTTCCCCCTACTACATTTAGACCTTGGATTTGTCAACTGAAAGAAAAATAAATAAATAAATGAAAGGGTAATAAAATAAAATTACTTATAATTTTTTTTTTTTATGAATAATCAAACAAAAATATTTTTTTTTGACAAATTTCAATTCATCCTCTTTTTAAGTTATAATCCAACCATAAATAAATAATTTAGTTTCTTGACTTCATTTATTTTCCTCTACAAATATAATATTCAAACATAACTTCTGAAATTATACATTATAATATATAAATAAACATTATGCATATGAAAAATGTGACAATTGAAAAGAAACTAACCCAATAAATTTGAGGATTTTTCCAGTATCATCCTTGATTGGTGAAATGGTAAGGAGGTTCCAAAAGGGTGTCCCATCCTTTTTATAATTCAAGAGCCTTCCACAATAACTATTGCCTGCCTGCAATGTTTCCCTAATCTTTGCCAATTCTTCTGGATCTGTACCCGCACCTTGTAAAAATCGACTGAAACCACACCAACAAAAAGACTTAAATACCCTTCCTAAGACCGTTATTGTGATAGTTAGTTAAAATAACAATTCCTATTGTATTCATTAAAACTTAATATTGATTAAGATATCCATACCAATTCCTACCAATGACTTCTCTTGATGTGTAACCAGTCATCTTAAAGAACCCAGCACTTGCATACAGAATTGGATAATCAGGTTTGGTTGCATCTGAGACAACAAATGTTTGTTGAAATGTTGATAATGCATCTTTTAAGTCTTCAGACACTCTTGGAAGACCTCTCTCCTTTCCTATCATGGTAACACAACAATTGAATAATCACCAATTTCTTAGTTTATCACTTTTTACAAGGGAAAAAAAATGTATTGAATCTACTAATGCTAGTAAAATAGTTATGAGAAAAGTGTACAAAATGATAACCAAATTTATAATAAAAAATTGAGTTTTTGACATTCAACCTCCTAAAGTTGTTAAAAACTGCAAGCCTAAAAAATCAATTTGAATATTTGAGCAAATTGACCAATGAAAGATGTTCAAAACTTTATGGCCCCCTAATTTTTTTTTTTTGGTGGCCCCCTAATTTTTTTGGGGGGGGGGGGGGCTGAAAAGATATTTAAAAGTGTAATTGGTCCGTTAAAAGAATAATTAGTTTAAGGGGACAAAATTTGACAGTTGAATTAAAAATTCTTGGGTTATTTGCTTCCCAGTTCATCTTTCAAGGACTAATAGCATTTTTGACCCTTTTTTTTAAAGGATAATTTACTCCCATTGATCCGATTTCATTTTTTTATATTCCCTCGATTTTAAAATATTAATTCCTTATTTTATTTTTTATGATCTCAAAATATTAGTCTATTTTTAAAAATCAATAACTAAAATAATATGAATTTCTTATTTTGTCATTCTTTTAAATTTATTAATAATACAAAAGTATAATTATGACAATCGATATTTTCAAAAAAAATATATTATCAAAGGGTAATTTTGAAAACATAATATTTTTAAAGTGTAATTATTTTACTACCCAAAAAAATTAAGCTGTGTTTGGTGGGGCTTTGTAATCAATTTTTCACTCACTGATTTGAATGCTACATTTGGTTTAAGTTTTCAAAAATCATTTCCACACCCGCGTTTGAAAACTAGTCTATCCGATCATCCTCCCAGACATCCGGCTGGTTGACCCGAACAGTTTTTTTTTTTTTTGCACCTGTTATTTTTATATTTTAAATAAAAAATATTTACGAAATTTTTTTAATTTTTTTTATGAGCATTGAATATAATTTTGAGTTGTGTGTTTGGTTATGAGTTGTAAGTTTTTGAATCAAATATCATATGTCACATCAAAAATTTCAAACTCAATTCAAAACTTTTTTCAAAACTCATAACCAAACAAATTTTCTTCACTCAAATCATAATTTCAAAACTCACAAACTCAAAATATAACTTTATTCTCAAATCATAATTCCAAAATTTTACCAAACGCTACCTCAGATTTTCCCAAAGCAACTATTATTTTGGGACGAAGTGAGTATATAAAAATAAAATAAAAGTTATCAAAGGCACTAAAAATTTACATACAATTAAAAAATAAAAAAAATAATAATCAGTGTGTTTGGTTTTAATTTTTTGAAAATTGAGTTCTTTATTTTTCGTATTTTTTATTTTTAGTGAATATTTTTAAAATTTTAAACAATTTTTATTTTGTTTTTTTAGATGGACCTACTTAGATGTATAAAATAGTAAAATATTTGTAAAAAAATATTTTTAAAAATTAATAAATACACAAAAATATACAATTTTTATTTTTATTTTTTTTAAATTTTTGATATTTAGTGAATTTTTTTAAAAAAATTCACAAATATTATATTTAAATATATGTCTAAAAATTAAAAAAATTATTTAAAATATTTTTTAAAATTCAATAAAAATAAAAAAAATAAAAAAATAAATTTTTTTAAAAAGTGAATGCCGGAAATCAAAACCAACAGAATGAATAATTTTATAAAACTTTTGTTTAAAAATGATTATTAATACTTGCACATATGGTTCCCAAATTGTAAATTAAAAGCTTTACCTGCTCCGTCATCAGATAAATCACCGGAGCTCCGGACAGAGTTACCGGAGTCCCTTCTGGTCCCGGGTTTATTATTCGGATCATCGCCTGAAGTTCTCGCCTTCACCCCCTTTGGCTTTCCAGTTTCCGTATCAGTCTTCAACACCAGCCCCCACTCCGCCGCCCTTTTCGCGGCGGCGCCCACTTCCCCCGACGCTTTCTCCGACGCCACGTCATCCAATTTCTTGTGGTGGTTGTCGCCGCCACCGTGATCCTTGATTATGGCGTTGGAGATAGTCTTTTGGGCGAGTGGGGAAGACGTTGAGGCGGTGGCGGCGTCCTTGAGGGCCATCCATGAGGTGATTTCGTCGGCGTTTGCTCCGCCGGACTTGGAAGTGAGCTCCGGCAGCTGAGGACTGCTACGTGGCGGTTGCGGAGGTGGTTCTAGCCAGGATTTCCAGGTGGGTTGTTGTGAGTGTGATGCAGCGAAGGTTGGATTGGTTGTTGGTCTGGAATTGTAGGTGGAAGGGTTGAAGACTTCGAGTGAGCCTCGGGAGTCTCTGGGTAGAGGTGGTTTGAGTGGAGATTGCTTGTTTGAATGCTCTGTTGTTGTTGTTGGTTCCATGATCTGCATGAAGATCACACACCAAAATCATATATATATATAGAGAGAGTGAGAGAGTGAGAGAGACAGAGAGAGAGAGAGGTATATGTAAATATGATCATCCATTCAGGATGAGGATTGAGACTATGAATCTATAACGACTCATCGAGCCTTAATAAGTAGTTTTCAGTGGCATTGTGGATGATGATTCTCTTGTGATAAACCTGTAAAATTGTTAGCTAGTCTTGTATTTATATGCCGTGTTGCAAACTAAACTTGGCAAAAAAAAAATTATAAGTTAGACATCTTAATTTCCTGTGTTTGGTTTGTAAATTTAAGGAGAAATTTAAAAAGTCAAAGAGAAAAATTAAGTAAAATATGAACATAATATAATTATATTTCGCACTTCTCCAATTTTTTTTAAAATTTCTTCCCATATCTACGAACTAAACACCACCTTAAGAGGAAAGGATCCTCTAGGAAACTTTAGGAAAATTTCACTCTAGAGGATCCTTGATGCCTTAAGAGGCAAAGAATGATTAACTTAGGTAGTGTTTAGTTCATTAGAATATAGTAGAATAAAATAATCATTCTATCAAAATATTCATTTCTATATTTGGTTAGACTAAAAAAATAATGACAAATGCATTACAAATAAAATCATCTTACAACATTTTAAGTGAATGATCGCTCCATATAAAAGACAAAGGAATCACTATTACGTTTATTTTCCTCTCATTCTAATAAACCAAATAAAACATTAGGATATGAATTAAATTTTCGTTTACTGAGGATACCAAGTAGATAATGAGCTATTTTGCAAAGATGATTAAAAGATATCTATCTTTCAGTTTTTAACCCATTTTAGGTCACATTATCTCTCAAATTTTTTACATATTTTTTTTTTAAAATTTAAAAAAAAAAACCAAAAAATCAATTTTAACCATCTTCTCAAAACAATCTAATGTCACATTATACTTTAAATTATCTAAAATTTTTTTTTCATCACATGGTTATAATAAAAGATCTCTTTTACATCATCTAATAATTATTAAAAAAATTCACATGAATGGTTGTAACGAGTTTTTTTTTTTAATTTAAAATAATGATAAATAATAACAAGTTGATAGGATTATGTTACAATTATGGAATGATCAAGTGGAGATCTTCCATTACAGCTATATAAGGAAGAAGATCACAATATATTTCTGTGAATAATATTACAAAGTATTTTAAGACTACAAAACAATTACTTGAAAAACAATTTTTATTCATGTTTGAACATTCCATACATATTATACATACATTTTATGCGATGGAATATACTAAAAAATATATATCTGTACATTATATGAAATATGCAAATCAAATATATTTTAAATATAATTTGAATTACATTAAATTTAGTCCACATCACACACTTTATATTTAAATTAATTGTAAAGATATTTTTTAAGTACCCAACTTTTTTAGGTGGCATATGAAGCTGACACTAGTTGTAGTTGAGACTTTGAGAGTGATGTTTTGTAACAGTTAATAAAAGTAGATCATACAAGGAGGAAGAGGAAAAGGAAGGTTTAAATAAAAGTAGTAACAAGGGTATTTAGGTCATTACAAACATCATCACTCAACAATCTTGTAGGGCTGAGCAAGGAATCCGTGAAATCCGTAATCCGATCCAGTCCAGTCCAATCCGATAGGTTTGGATTGGTTTTTTGAATCCGTGGTTCGGTTCCGGATTGAAAAATTAAAAATCCGTAGTACACGGATTGGTTCCGGATTGAACCCCACGGTTCCGGATTGGAACCGATCCGGACCGTATACAAATAGTATATATTTTTATTATACATTCTCCCCCATAGTATCTTCTCTTATTCTATATAAAATCTAAACTCAAACCTAAAACCGTATAATATCTTCTTTTATTACTTTTGTTTGTTAGTTTTTAGTTTTAATTTGTAATGGTCTAAATACTTATGGTGAAACCAGTTTTCTTATGGTTGTTTAAATTCTAGCACAGTATATCGCTATTATAGAAATAGATGTTGCTATTGTGGAACTAATATAGCTCTATGTTTATATTTTTATGAAATTAAAGTGTTATATATATTTTTTTGTTATTTAATAATGTGAATCCGTGGTCCTAAACCGATCCAATCCGTATTTAAATGGATTGGTTCGGATTGGTTCCATGATTTAAACGGATTGGATTGGTTCCAATTTTTCAGGAACCGTAAATAACGGATTGGTCCTGGTTTTATCCCAATCCGGTCCAATCCGAACCATGCTCACCCCTACAATCTTGTGTCATTTATGTCTTGGTGACCACAAGGAACTCAGAGCACCTCACATTTGGGAGGGCAGTTTAGTCAATTGATGAGCTTTTAAGTAACTGCCAAAATAAAATAAAACTACAAAGTGGAAACAGCTAAATCTATGATAGTTACAATTCAGACCCATAACTGTGACAAATTTCTAGGTAGTTCGTTTTATTAGAGAACTTTATACACGGAGCCTTTTTGTTTTCAAAGGTAGAACGGAGGGTATTAATAATGAGGAAATTATTAGTAAAAAAATTATGTAAAATTGTGTTTGTTTTGATGATAATTTTTAGTATAGGGATTGTTAAATTATTTTTATATAAAATAAATATAAAATAATAAAAACAAATAAAAAATACAAAAACATTAAACATTAATGTTTTTAAAAAAATGCCAAACATATAAAAAAAATTAAAAAAATAAAAATAAAATAAAAAATTTCCAAAAAAAATAAAACAAATAAAATAATGATTTTTACTTAACAAAAAATACAAAAAATTAAACATTAATATTTTAAAAAAAATACCCGACATATAAAAAATAAATAAATATAAAAAATTTATAGTCTACCAGACTATTTTCTAATACCAAGTCCTGGAGGCCTATCTAAATCCCTTTGGGGAGGCCTATCCTAATCCAGCTCACCATCAATCCCCTTCCTATCTTTCAAAACAAACACAATATTAATGAATCTCACTTCACTGTTAATCTCAATCCTCCTCCTAACTCTCCAAAGAAACGGACAGAGAGTGCTATCTGTTTGCTGTCCCAGATAGTGATGGAAAGAGAGAAAACAAAGCCAATTAATACTCAATCAAAAAGCTATAACAAATTAGTAATTGAAAATAAACAACAATTGTACCACATTCAAGTTGTAAAAGTCTTTGGACAAATGTATTTTTGTCGGTTTTTAAGAAACTTACCATTCTAAAAAAAAATGTTTCAACTTCCTTAATTAATTGGGTATGTGAGAAAAAGAACAAAGAAATTCAAAAAAGTAAGAAATAGATAGTACCATATTTTCAAAAATTATAAATAGAGATCGGATATGTATTAAAAAGTATCTCGAAAACAAAATGTATGATGTAAATTCAAACTTAGTATATTATAAATTATACTTAAAATAAATTTGGTTAACATTTTTTACTTCAAAATAATTTTTGGAGTACTTTTGTGAATACATAGTATTGTTATTTCAAAATGTGTGATCAAATTTATTCTGAAAAGAAGTCGCATCATACCATATTTAAATTTATGTATTAATTCTGAGCTCTTCCCTTAAAATTGAACTCAACCATAACTGAAAATGTTTGGGGGGAGTTGAATACCTAAACTCTCATATGGATACAACTATTAAAAATATATGAATTTATTTAATTTAATTATACATGTAGTTCTCAATGTAACAGAATAATGAAAAGAAAAATGCTTGGGAGCACTAATTAGTGGTCCCACTAATTAGGTGGCAGTGGGTCCCGCCATTAATGATGTGATGTTTTGGTCTTGGAGTTGTATTTTTATTTTATTTTTTTATTTTTTTAATGCATTAGTGCTATTAGTGGTGATATTTTTAGTGGGATGAATCATTGTTGGAATGAAAATTGATTCATGTAGCTGATCTGACTTAATTAAAACATTAAGTTTGATTTGATTTGATTTAGTATGGATAAATTCCTCTGTTTCTGTTGAAGAACAATTAGCATGAAAAAATTCAAAACTACTGAGGAGATTGCAAGTGCAACATGATGAACAATTCATGAATACAGTTTCTTAGAACCATAAAAACCAAAAAAATCCCTGAGAGACGAGCCTAATACATTATACAAGTACAATTTAGACTTGAATTTAACAGAATTTCAATCTCAACTATCAAACCCTGAACTCTTAAAACCAGTAGTAATCAAATAAACATAAGATTCAAAAAATTCAAAAACAGAAACAAAATAAAATCAAAGTACCTGATCAAATGAAGGAGAAGAGCTTGCTGAATTAGAGTTCCGTTTGGCTTTGCCCAAAACGCTTTATAAAAAGAACTTTTCAATTATATTGGAACAGAGGAGAGGGATGAGAAGGGAATGAATGGGAAAGGACTTTTAAAATAAGGGAAAGGAAGAGAGAATGAATGTCGAAAAGGTTTGGCATCCCATCCCTATACCACCTGCAATTCACATGGCTCTCTCTGCACACGACCTATGTTTTTTTTTTTTTTTTTTTCCTGAGGCCTTTTGCACTTACATAGTCTTGAGAAGTGTTATAACAAGTTTGTTTGTTTGTTTGTTTGTTTATGTTATATGTTAATGAAAATGGTATGTACTGCCTTGTCAAATTGCTTGACTGAATTGTATTAGAGGTTAATTTACTAGTGAAATTCTTGTCTTACAGAGAGAGAGAGAGAGAGAGAGAGAGAGAGGGAGAGGTTATGGAGGGTGTTGAAAAGCACGTTGCACAGTGCGGGTTTTAACCGACCGGTTGCTTATCTGCAACGCCCCTCGTGTTTTTGTGTCTCACTAAAAGATAATCTCACTTGACTTCGCCCCTTTCTTTTTGTAAAAACTATTTTTCATATTTTTTTTGTGTTTAGTATGATAAAAAATAAAAATTAATAAAAAAATATTTTTTATAATCAATGAAAAAATAGTAAATTTCACTCACCTTTCTTAAGATTTTACAAAAAAAAAAAATGTTTTACAAAAAATTAATAAAGACCCGTATATTATTTTAATAATGTTAAACAAAATTATTAAATTCTATACAATATTTTTAAAAAAATTCTAAATTGTTAAGACAAGCATATATATAGTAGGATAACCAAACATTGGCCTTGTTTGGTAGAGCTGTGGGAAAGTGCTTATAGCTTATGCCTTAATAGCTTATAGCTTATAACTATGAACATAAGCTGATTTCTGACTTATAAATTAAGCATCTCCTGCCTCACTCAAAGAATTGATTACCATTAAACTTTATACTAATTAAATACAATCCTTTATTTGAAAATTACAAAACAAAATATAAAAGATGTCAATTTTTATTTTTTAAAAAGACCACCAATTTTATGAATACCTATTTTGAGAATTAGGGTTTGAATAAAAATTTAAAAATACATATAGGTATTTGATTTTATTTTTTTTCATATGAAAATACCTATTTGGAGAAATTATCCATCTCTTTCCATTTTTTTTAATTTTATTTCTTGCTATTTATTCTCATTCATTTTTTTATAGTATCACTGCAACTAATAGTAATACCACATAATTTATTTATTTATTTATTTTATTATTATTATTATTATTATTATTTGTTCTTTTCTCTATGCTCTTACCTCCATTTTTTTATCATTTTTTCCTCAATGTTAACTAACATCACTCAATACTATAACAACTTACGAAACTTGAATTTTTTTTTTGTTCTGTAAACATGGTTGTGCATTAAATTTTTTTAAGAAAAAATAAACATAACAATATTTCATAATTATAATAAAAATATCTATATATATAAAATTATCATTTTTATCTTTTCACAATCCTATATTATTCTCAAATTTTAATTATCATCTTTGAGTATTTCAATTTCCAGTCGATGGATATTAAAAAAAAAGGAGTAAATATTTCTCACCGTAATAATAAAATTCTTAAAAATAAATATAAAAGTGAAAAAATATCTAATCGTGTTACAACAAATTAAATAGGGAATAAAGAAATTATTTGAGAATAATAAACTATTTAAATTTGTCATTTCTTACATCTAATTAAAATGGAATTTTACTTAAAGAAATAAATTATTTGAAAATAATAAAATACTCAAATAATTTGTTATTTATTACATCTAAAATCTATATCTCCATCTTTATTTCTTTCATTTAAATTATTTTTATTAAATTAAATCACAAAATTAATTCAAACAATTAATTTTATTAATGATTGATTGATTTTTTTTTTAAAACTTATAAAAGTTCAAAAACTTATAGCGGAAAAAAAATACAAAGTCAAGGAAACACAAAAATAAAATAAAATGATATATATAGGTAAATTACACTTAAAGGTTATTATGGTCATTTGCACAACCAAATTAACATTGTTTGGGTTAAATTAATGGGAGGGGAGAATCTTAACAAAATCATAAAAAGTGAGGAGGCTTTCTGTAATTATTGAAACTACAGGAAGGTCTTTATAATCGTCAAAAATCTTAAGGAAGGTAACTGTAATTTACTCAAAAGTAAATATTTTAATCAAAAACTTAAAAAGTTTAAATACAAAAGTCAACCTATTTTCTTTACTTTTTTTTTATACGTTTTTTTTTTATAAAAAAATCAAAGGGTGAATTATACTAACGGTTCTTATAGTTTAAGATTTGTATCATTTTGGTCCGTGACTTTTCAATTGTGACACATTTGACCCTAAATTTTGAATATTGTTCCAAATAAGGACAATTGAAGATACTATTAGATTTTTCAAGGGCAAAATCGTCAATTTGATAAAATATAAATTAATTTAACAAAAATAAATGTCAAAAAATTAATTTTGGATTTTTATAAATTATTCCTACCTACTAAAGATAAAATTATATAAAATTGATAAATCTTTTAGACATTTATTATTTTTTTACCAAATTAATTTTTATTATTGTAATGCCCTCAAAATAAAACATAGTCCAACCATTCAATAAATCCATAAAACATAATAGAAATATCATTTTTTTTCATTCATCAGAATTTATATTACGATGGATATTACTTGTTCGCAACAAAATGAATATCCTACGGGCTTATAGCTTTTCAAGTCATCACTTGGTTACAACAAAAAGAGTCCTAACTCTATACATAGAAAGTCCTAGGCTTGAATATGCATTTAACATCAAAACGAAAAAAACAAATGGGAGTCCTCCACTCCAAAACCTCCCAGGCTAAGATATCGGAGGCGACATATCACCTGTACTTGAAAAATGGTGTCCCAAGTAGGGTGAGCCAAAACCCAGTGGAGATATGCTAAACAACACATGAGAATTAACTAAAACATTAACATCCGATAAATGTGCAACACTTGAAAAACTAACTTACACTCTTCCCATAACCAATCAACATTAACATCCGTATTTCAATCCACTTCCATTTATTTATCCAAATCAATTCATTAACATGGTTCATTTTTATCCAAACAATTCAAAATGAGACTACAACTCATATCATCAATGTACGAGCACGAAATAATTTTTCTCGTATGATCTTGTTGATCAAGTTTGCAATCCTCCAAACAATGTTGCTTTGCTACCTGAAAACACAAACGAGAGCTAACCGACAGGTGTGTGCCGGAAACCCCTCCGATGCCTAAGTCAGCAACTAGACAATAGACAATAAGCTCTGTGTATTCTAGAGTAAGAATTGGGATACCTGTCCATAGGTCTGGTCATGAGCTTTTATAGACTTTACTTTGGCACAATTCTAGTAGGATTCCAACTCTCCGTATGAGAGTCCTCCTAGGAATCACACACCCTACTCACTACCAACCAAGTGAGATGGTTTGCATAATCCTAGTAGGACTCTACTCTCCTTAACAAAGTCCTCCTAGGAGTCATACTCCTACTCACTACAAACCAAGTGAGATGGTTTGCACAATCCCAGTAGGACTCTAACTCTCCTTAGCAGAGTCCTACTAGGAGTCTCATCACTGCAAGCCAAATGAGATGGCTGCACCCTTTACCTCGGTTATACATTTCTGACCGAACTGCCTTATCTCGGTCCCTTGCCATTCGGATCGTGTGATCGAAAGCTAATCTATCGAATGCCACCCTACTGAGCTATACACAGCTCGGCCCTCGCCATTGATGTTACTTCCTTTACCTCGGTTGACATCTTTACCTCGGCTGACATTGATGTCAACCAGGTTATTTCGGCTCGGTGATACTTTAAGCACCACTATCAGTCTTGACTCTGAGATGACGCCCTGCAGAGCTATCCTTTAGCTCAGTTCTCCCTCCACTGATACCTCGGTTTTGTCTGTTTAGACCAAGCTAACTGCAGCAGTCTCCAACTGAACTAACAAGGACGAGGTCCAACTTGCGAAGCCCAAACACCTCGGCCCATAGTTCAGTCCAAATTCGTAATATGAGATGTCTTCTTGGCCTAAGACCGAGCTACACCAGCCCTTATCTCGGCCCATTGCGTTGCCCAACTTCCAAAGAAGACTTTCCTAGCTCAGCCCAATTTGTTTACAAATTACCCTCTCAATTGCCCCTTAATTCTATCTGCGCAACATGATTGGGATTATTCTCCTCTAGCCGAGCTAAAAACGCACAACTCTGCTGAACTAGAGAAGTTTGTTCGATCTCACAACTCGTTCAGTCCCAACAAGTCTGGTCAATTGCTCAGCACGTCATTCCACTAATCTGGCATGTTTGATACGACGTTATCCCAAGGACAAGTGGCGTGCCCTCATTAGCCCCGTTCTCCTATTACAGCCGTCATGCCAAAAATTTGAATAGCCCTGTTTTTTTGCCTTCAACGTATATATTCTTCGAGTTTGTAATCGTACGGCGAGTCATTGTTTCTGTGTCTCGCCGAGTAGACTAACTCGGTTTATACTAACCCTACCAACCTACTTTGGTCGAGATAACCATCTCGGTCCAGGAAAAAATTTGTTGGTCAAACCTGTCAACCTTTTTTGCCCGAGGTAACCATCATCCCGACCAAAGAGTTTAAAAATTTATTGATCAAACCTGTCAACCTGTTTTGGCCGAGATAACCATCATCCCAGTCAAAGAGTGCAAAAAGTTTGTTGGTCAAACCTGCCAACCTGCTTTGGCCGAGGTAACCATCATCCCGACCAAAGAGTTCCAAAAATTTTGTTGGTCATACCTGCCAACCTGCTTTGGCCGAGGTAACCATCATCCCGGACAAAGAGTTCAAAAATTTGTTGGTCATACCTGCCAACCTGCTTTGGCCGAGGTAACCATCATCCCGGCCAAAGAATTCAAAAAAATTTTGTTGATCATACCTGCCAACTTCCTGCAGCCTAGATCCTCATCTCGACTTCGGAGAGCTAAATGTTGGTTATTCTTGCCAACCTTCTTCAGCGCAGATCCTTATCTCGGCTTGAAGAAGAGCTAAATGCTTGGCCATTCCTGCCAAACTTCTTCATTGCCCCCCAGTCGGACAAAGACTTATTGGTCAAACCTGCCAACTTCCTGCAGCCTAGATCCTTATCTTGGCTTATGAGAAGTGTTGGTTTTTCCAGCCAACCTCTTCAGCCCAAATCCTAATCCTAACTGAAGAGAGCTCAAAGTTGGTTATTCCGGCCAACTCTGAGCGAAGTGTTTGGTTTTTCCAACCAAACGTCCTGCAGCCTGGATCCTTATCCTCGGCTTAGGAGAAGTCTTAGTTTTTCCAGCCAACTTCTTCAGCCCAGATCCTAATCCTAGCTGAAGAGAGCTCAAAGTTGGTTATTCCGGCCAACTCTGAGCGAAGTGTTTGGTTTTTTCAGCCAAACGTCCTGCAGCCTAGACCCTTATCCTCGGCTTAGGAGAAGTGTTGGTTTTTCCAGCCAACCTCTTCAGCCTAGATCCTAATCCTCCCTGAAGAGAGCTCAAAGTTGGTTATTCCGGCCAACTCTGAGCGAAGTGTTTGGTTTTTCCAGCCAAACGTCCTGCAGCCTAGTTCCTTATCTTCGGCTTAGGAGGAGTGTTGGTTTTTTCAGCCAACCTCTTGAGCCCAAATCCTAATCCTATCTGAAGAGAGCTCAAAGTTGGTTATTCTGGCCAACTCTGAGCGAAGTGTTTGGTTTTTTCAGCCAAACGTCCTGCAGCCTAGATCCTTATCCTCGGCTTAGGAGAAGTGTTGGTTTTTCCAGCCAACCTCATCAGCCCAGATCCTAATCCTCGCAGAAGAGAGCTCAAAGTTGGTTATTCCGGCCAACTCTGAGCCAAGTGTTTGGTTTTTCCAGCCAAACGTCCTGCAGCCTAGATCCTGATCCTCGGCTTAGGAGAAGTGTTGGTTTTTCCAGCCAACCTCTTGAGCCCAAATCCTAATTCTAGCTGAAGAGAGCTCAAACTTGGTTATTCCGGCCAACTCTGAGCGAAGTGTTTGGTTTTTCCAGCCAAACGTCCTGCAGCCTGGATCCTTATCCTCGGCTTAGGAGAAGTGTTGATTTTTCCAGCCAACCTTTTCTGTTGCCCCCCAGTCGGGCAAAGACTTTTCAGAAAGAGTTGGTCAAACCTGCCAACCCACTTTGCCTTTAGTTGGGCAAAGATTTTTGCCCGATCGGTCCTACTTGTCAACAGTGTTATCTTTTTCCGAAGGTGTTTTGTCTGACATCGTTGTTGTCACGCCCAAAACCCGCCCCTAAAAGTTTGGGCATGACCCGTTTGAAAACGAACACTTAACCTGTAGTAAATAACATATGGGGCCTCATCGGAAGCATAAAGTAGGAAAATAACTATACATATAAATTCCACTGAGCTACATCTATATGCCAGGACCTCTTATACATCACATTCATCATGGAAAATAGATAAAGCTCCAAACCATATGTTGTAGCATCGGTGATAAACAACCATATGTACAGACCCAGCCCCATCATTGGGCTTATATAAAAATCATTGAAGTTCTACCTCTTTAACTTTAAATGGGTAATCAAAATTAAGCCAACATTTCAATAGACTTTACAAAAATAAATGGCTTCGTGCAGTGCCTGAACCCACGAAGGTTGACAAAAGAAAACAGGTGTCATGACTAGGACTGACCACTTGGTTGGTTACCTATAGAAACAGACATTAGACAGAGTGAGCCAAGCTCAGTGAATAGTAATACATAAATAAAACAATGCTTAAATTGAAACATAACACATAGCAATGCATATAAAGATGTAGAGTTCACATAGTTAGTCTGATTCTGTGCTACGTACATAACGACCTTAAGTTCAATCTTGCAACATAAACATGGTGGCTATAAGCCCTTGAAACATGGTGGCTCGAGGCCCTTGAAACATGGTGGCTATAGGCCCTTGAAACTTGTGGCACTAAGGCCCTTGAAACATGTGGCATAAAGCCCTTGTAACATATGGCACTAAGGCCCTTGAAACATATGGCATAAGGCCCTTGAAACATATTGAAACATATGGCATAAAGCCCTTGTAACATATGGCACTAAGGCCCTTGAAACATATGGCATAAAGCCCTTGTAAAGTTGGCATGAAGCCCTTGAAAGATTGGCATTAAGCCCTTGAAAAGTTGGCATGAAAGCCCTTGAAAGATTGGCATTAAGCCCTTGAAAAGTTGGCATGAAAGCCCTTGAAAGATTGGCATTAAGCCCTTGAAAGGTTGGCATGAAAGCCCTTGAAACAAAGAACTTGTAACATACATAAACTTGTAACAACATAAACTTGTAACATACATCAACTTGTAACAACATAAACTTGTGATAGACTTAAACTTGTAACATATACTTGAAACATACCTGAACATACTTGAACTTGTAACATACTGGAAACATGCCTGAAACATACTTGAACGTCATTCATTAATTCAAACGGAACATATCATAACTAGAGCATTTCTTGTTGTATCGTGTCATTATCGTACGCTTAACAATGAGAGACTAATTCACATTCTCATGAGGGTCACATAATGATGCTAAACTTTGGACTTATATCGTAGATTCTGGATCACTTCCAATTCATAAGCAACATAACAAATTAACTTCAATTCATGTGGATACATGTAGCTACTCTTATATTTACTCAGAATCCATTCTTCAAGAATGAACATAAATTCTTTTGGGTAAATGACTTACTTTACGTGCTCTCTTATCAATAGCATACACCTTTGTTTAATCATTCTTATATGTTAACATAGTTCCCTTGCCTTGTAATTAACATAGTCCTAATGATAACTGTTACATCATTCCCATGAGTTGATATAATTAACGTAAAGTTAACAGGACATTCCTGATAATTAGTAACGAAAAGTAAGTACATTTTCATTAGATTATAGATGACTTTATTGGTTTCACAATTTCATAGTTCGCCCCTTGGCCTGAGGGGTTCACACATTCACAAGTTCCTTTGATGTTTTCATAATTCCATAATGTTTCTCACATAACATACATAACTTCATAAACTCTTTTGAAGTTTCCATAATATCACAGTGTTTCTCACATAGCATTCATAACATTTATGTCAACATAATTCCTACGACGAAGATTTAACATCAATAACGATAAATGGTTAAAGGTACATCAAAGTACTACTACTCACAGTGATCGGTTCCCGGTGATAATGGTACAATGTCCTCGTCTCGACCTACAATTACAGTGCACAACACATAATATGAGGCTATACTCGATCCTTTACTTATTCTCTTTGATCATTCAATCAATTAGTCATAGTGGTACCAAGCTCATTATTCTTTAATATGTTGTAATCCATGTCTTAGAAAACAGGAGAAATCGATAGGAAATGGTTTAGGTGAAGAAATGGTACATAACTAATTGACATAACGTGAACAGTCGTCACTAATTTGGGTATAACTTTTTCTGTATTTTGAATTTGGGAGTGAGACTAGGCGCCATTGGAAACTAGACTTCCGGGGCTTGATTTTAGGCTCAAGAATCACTCAAAACGGAGTCCGGATGCAAAAGATATACCTATTCAAAGTTGGCTGGACAGAGCTGTCTCTGCACGTGCGGGTGAACAGTGCCGCACGTGCGGCCCTGGACAGTAGCAGTCCGAAAATGGCTGAAATTGTGGGACTTCTCATTTTCAAAAATCAAACCTTAATTACATGTAAATCAAAGCCCAAAACCCTTTAATACATGACCAATTTCACATTATTATTCTTCATCAAACACCATAATCTCACAATAAACAAATTTAATGATTTTACTTCTTCAATCAAGGAATTCTTAGAAAATCAAGGTTCATGGGTTCAAAGTTCACATCTTCTATATCAATCCATGATTTCAAGTACTAGATGGATTCTATACAAGGTTAGTAATTAGAGCCACATACCTTACCCAAACCTTTGTTCATCCCTTAGTCTCTTCAATTTTCCCAAGCTTTTGGTTGATCTTTCCTCTCTCTTCTATCTTCTTCAACCATCTTCAAGCTTTCATGGATGTTGAATTCCTTAGGGAGAAGCTTTGCCTCTTCTCTCTCTCCCTCTCTCTCTCTCACGGTTCTCCTTCCACTTTCTCTAGATATTTTTATTTTTTGTTTGGTTCAAAATAGATGAGTTCAACAACTCATAAGGCATATATGCATATATAAAAGCTTCCCACAAATAGGAAGGGCCAAACACGCCCTTACGAATCGCACAAAATCACATTTCAATTAAACTTCCCAGATAACTCTAAAAATTATGCTGATCATAAATATGTCCCCTGTTCCGGTATCTGAAGTCTTTAACGCCTTTAATTTGCAGTATAAAGTTAATCACCCAAACGTCCATTAACGAACCCGACAAATTAGATTTCAAATTAATTTTCCCAAATAATTCCAAAAATTCCTATTAACATATCCAAGTACTCAATTTTGATTTTTGAACCCATAAAGGTCGGTAATTCTCATTTTAAGTCCGTAACTCAACTGATAATGCTTCAATTCTAATAGATATAATTAAATTAAACCACATCATTTCATAGGGAAATAAAGATGATTTCTTATACGCATTTTGGGGTCATTACAGTTGTTGTGCCAGACTCTGCCTTGGTGCGTGCCATCTTCCTCTACCCTGATGTGTTGGTGCACTTTCTCCATCAGGGCTTCCATAGTAAGGGGCAGCGTCATTGTCATTGAATCCCTCAACTCAGTTTACGATATTCTGCTTCAGTTAATTTTACACCATCAAATAGATACTGCTCGTCTTCTATATCACCTCTAAGCTCCTTCAGTTTCTTCAAATACTCTTGCCTTGAAACTTTCCTTATAGCTCCAATGCCATCTTCCTCCAAAGCATTAGATCTCTGAACAGCTTCTTCTTCCTCCATCTGTGTTAATTTTGGCTCTGCTAGCTTCCTTGTTGCTGCTGCATCCTTCTCTTTGGTCACGCAATTGTTCTTCCTCCGACTCAGAACCATCATTATCATCATGATGTCACGACACAAACCCGCCCCTATGGGTTTAGTACCGTAACCGGCCAGTAATCCGAGATTACCGAAGGCCTGCTTAACAGTAATACAGTAATACAGAGTACAAGGGCTGGCGGAAGCCAAAACAGTAATTAAAAGATGTCCAATGAGCTGTGACAGGCTGTATGCAAAAAGACTTTTCATATATATACACATTCAAAACAAAACAGTTTATACATACATGTACAATATATACAATCATTCAGGACAGGGACTTAATCCCTATTAGAACAATATAGTACAACACCATTCAGCCTATACAGTAGTTATAAAACAGATACAAAAAGGGGGAACATAAAACACCCCAAAAGCCCTAGCTTGACAGGCTCGGAACCTCGCAGTGAGGCACAATGGTTGGCTTTGACAAAAGGGAGTCTAACCCACGCTCCTAACTCCGATCTGGTGCCTGAACACCTACATATATATATATATGAGTAGTGAGTTAAAGTCCAGTGAATAACATAATGCGTAAAGAGGTTAAGAATGAATGTCCTTTCAGTTTTGAAAACAGTCAATTGATTCAGTGTATCAATCATTCAGTCATAACAGTCATATGTGGTACATCCATTAGCAAAATAGTACAGTAAACAGTAGGTCTTGAAAGACCGAACATTCAATGATGGCCGTCATAACAGTAAACAGAAGTTCCAAAATAGGAACTGGCAGAGATCTCTGTAACAGTAACAGTAACAGCAACAGTAGTTGATAAGGATGCCATGATACAGTTCAAAATAGAGGACAAACATTCATTTAGTTAACAGTAAACAATTTAGAAAACAGTTCAGTTGATCATTCAGAAAATATTCATTTTTGAACATATATTTACAACATTGTTACTCACAGAGTTCTGGGCTACAGATAAGCTAGTACGCGTCTCCGGATGCCAACCCTACACAGTTGCAGAATGAACACACACTAAGCTACACAGTTGGGAAAATAATAATTTAATCCCTAGTTTGCCTCAGTATGGTTCTACATCGATATCCTCATTAAGATGCCTTAAACTAGGCCTAAAAATGCCTATGATGGAATAAGGATGCAAGGATGCACTTTAAAACATTTTTCAGAATTTTCAGAAAACAGGGGTTACGCTCGAGCGTTTCTATATCCGCTCGAGTGACAATGCAGACAAGGGTCTCCGCTCGAGCGTGAATCAATCCGCTCGAGCGGACTACAAGCTACAGTAAAAGTACTGGATGTGTGAAAATCACGCTCGATTGGGCGCTCGATACCCGCTCGAGCGTGTGACACAAGTCCTCGCTCGAGCGTCCAATACTCCGCTCGAGCGGACTGTAAAATAGTGTAAAGTGCTGGATGCACGAATTTCACGCTCGAGCGCCAGTCACTCCGCTCGAGCGTGAGTCCAAAATCTGGAATTTCCAGATTTGAACCTCAAGCTCAAAAACAAGTTTCAATATACCAAATTCGATCCTTTTGGGCTAATTTTCTAGAAAACACT